ATATATATATATGAGCCTATGTATATCAGACACATGAAACAAAAGCTAAGATTCATACCTGAAAATTAAACAAACATCATATCTTTACAGTACAAGCATTAGTTGGTTATATAACATTGACTATAGTTAAACTAGAGCTTTTGTCACATACTCACTGTTACTGCTTGTTTCATTTTTTGCGTTTTTTTACCATCTCTATTCCAGTCATTGCTATGAGACATTGTTTGATGACAGATATAATACGATGTAAGATTGGCAGTACTAACATTGTAATATTTGTTAGAAATGTGCAGAAATAAAAAATCCAAAAGAACCCCTGCTCCCCCCTCCCCTTAAAAAATCCCCAACAACATACACGTAAGAAAAGCACAAAAATAACAGCACATATTACAAAATTATTTCGTGCTGTATGCTTGAGTAATTGGTTATTATATGGGAAATATAGCAATTAATGACGTGTTCTGGCACTTTCAGGACATGGAGACAGGATAAACGAAGACATAATAATGATAGTGTGGAAGAAACAAGGTACCTATCATTATGAAAATCTCAACCAAGAGAGCACCCTGCTGTTTTTCGATAATTCTGAACTACTAAACATGGAGATGCATTTGCATGAACGGATGGATGGACTAAAGCCAACGCATTTATGACAGTCATGAAATTACAATATTGCAACAGCTAAAAGTACAGTACAGTAAAGTAAACAAGCACACACACAGACACACACACACACACACACACAAACATACACACGCACGTACACACACACACACATGCACGTACACACACACATGCACGCACAGACATACACACACACACACACACACACACACACACACACACAAGCATCAAGAGAGTATTTCAATATACACCATACGCTTAGGCTGTACAGTACACAACCAGTTCATTGTTTCAACAACAATTCAATCTCCCTTTGCTTCTTAACAACTCGTGTCAGCCATCCCATCAACAACCCCCCCTCCTTTCCCCAACCAGACACAAAGCAGATTTAAGTATTATGAGTTTATTATGCTTGACGCAACAGATTATTCCATCTTAAGGCATGGCAGTCTCGAACAAGCCCTCGGCTCCATTCAGACGTTTACATGATGTCGAACATCAATAGGCCTATCTGCGTTGATGGGGAAGTAAAAAATGTACAATCTACCGAAGAAAATCAAGTAACCTGTTGAAACTTTTGTCCAGTTCACACTTCCAATAAAACCGCACCATCTTACACAAACAGAAACATAAATGTGAACAACACTGTTTCGCACTCAGGTAAGCTGCTTTCTTGCTGTCTGCATAAGTACCAAAATTTATGAGCGAAAGTTTAAATTGAGATTGAACTGGAACTAAGAGGTACCATGGAAAGCAGGCCATAAGTTTGTTTTTTGCACCATTTGGGTGACAATCTACAATTTTACGCTGCTTGATGAGACCCGTGAAGACCATCACGACGCCAGAAAGGAGCGTGGCAGCACTTATAGAGGGGGAGACATTTTGGCAAGAGCTGGCTTTGAGAAAGTCTAGCGGTACCACTCTATCGAGTTTTACAAACTATCAGAGGTACCAACTGGCTCTGAAAAATTAATCCTGAACATTCGGACCCTGTGGCGATGTGCGTGTGTGGGGATTCAGCATTTATGGATCAGATTGTCTTATAAGCCTGCATCTTGTTTCAACACAAAACTTATATGAAGCACCCCCCCTCCTAAAAAAAAAAAGCCCCAACCAAACCCCCTCCCCCCCCAAAAGTAAAAAATCAGAAATCCGGAATACCTAACAAACACTTGAAGTTACACCAAGGCCATCAGGGGCTATTTCTGTCAAGTACAGCGATACCCTCTCTAGAGTGAAATCTACAGCCATAACGTCTCCGCTTCTATCTAATAAGAAAACGATGCGTATACTGAAGCTCATCGGCAAAGCATTTTCAAATTGGATTTCAGCACGTACTTTGTTACCCTAGCAAAAAAAAAAAAAAAAAAAAAGCAACCAAACACATAAAATCCCCCAAATTTTTGGGAGGTTTGCCATTTAAAAGATAGGGATGATAGTTTGTTTTTCACTTTTTTTGCCAAGCTGCTGAAATTAGACCCCGAACATTTTCCCGCCCATGCACCAAGGTTGGCACAGGCCAATTCTCATCTAAACTTCGAACTCAATACTCGTGGTAGGTACGGTACGTTATCTCACCCCACCCACATCACGTGCCCGTACGTAAGCCAGATAAGCCAAACGCAACTAAGTCTTCTACAAACACCAACGTACGCGCGTGGGTCTAACTGAAAAGTATGCCGAAAGCTCTTTACCATCATGAAATGGACAGAAAGAGACCAGGCACATGATATTTATAACTTTGCTTGTCCGATGCAGCCCGCCGACATCGCATTCGCCGAGAGTCTACTAAAGAGTTGAACGACTATGGTACATTTTGGGGCCAGTCTGCCCTCCGCGGAGCCAGCTGTTCCATCACTTGTGCTGCTGCGTTCCGAAAAGAGTAACGACACCTGTGTGTAACCTGTATTGAGAAACAAAAACAAAAAAAGATCGTTTTTTACTCGAGCCAAAAGAAGCACATAGATACAACAGACCGAGGGCCTTTAGTGCAAGGCACGAGCAAGATAGGACGGACAGACAGATACAAAATGGGGAAAGAAAGAGAAGTTGCGGGTTGTGCCGGTTGAGCCCTCGTTTGTTTGTTTGTTTGTTTGTTTGTTTGTTTGTTTGTTTGTCTGACTAAAGAGATGCACATAGACACAACAATGGTGATTTAGTGCTGGGAAAAGTGAGACGAACAACAGAGGGAAAGTAAAGAAGTCGGACCTACCGGTGGCGCCCTCCAACCACCCACTTTGAGCCCTCAAACCACGGTCAACATTGTGTGCAGCATTGCAAGAGTAACCAGGGATAAGACAACAGAGCACTCACGTTTACACTGTTTGCCTTTGATTGAAAAGGCTAGGGGATAGTTCAAACTTTCAGACAAGAAAATATATACGATAAAAGCCTCTCCGGGAGGGTTTTTCTGATTAGATGCCAATATGATTACGCCAGTTTTGACTTCTCAAGCGAACGAGATCAATTATACAATCGGTGTCGGTTCGATTTCTGGGGAAATAGGGTCCAGATCAGTAACGTTTTGGCGCAGGAACGTTGAAGACACTTATTCTGGGACTCGTCATGTACTTGGATCATAGTTTTTTCCAACACAAGAGTGTCGATAGGTTTGGCAGTACAACCGTTGGCTTCGAGCCTCTGTTTTGGGTATAAAAAAGCACATCAACAAATAAACGGTCATTTAGTGCAGGGACAAAAGTAAGGCAGACAGAAAGAAACAACGGAGAGAATAAAAAAAGAAGTAGGGCCTGCCAGTGACGCTCTCAAACCACCCGCTCACCTCGAGCACTAACACATAGTTATCAAGGGCTTATTGAAGAGTAGCAGGGAACTTCATTTTTATGAAAAAGCATCGTTTAACTGTGGTAGGACATTGCACGCTGATTGAAACGATTTTCCTCCCGACCGCCATTTAGACTCGACTACTTGGACAAGTCTCAAAAGGGTGCTGAAACCCATTATCCAATAGAACTGTCTTTTTGAAAAGGTGTAGTTCATACGTATCAAAACAGTCGTTGTTAATTGATAACGCGCCAAAAGTTGCTATACAGAGAAGAATAAATGATCACGCTTCCGGACAACTGATTTCATTCAAACCGTAACATCCACGATCCCATACGGTTCTCTTCCATTTGAAAACAGAATTGGATGCACCACAGTTGTCACTCCCGCCGAACATGCATGAACGCATCGAGTCATTTGCATGAAATGGCAATATAAATGGAAACATTAATTTCCTTTTCACGCGGACACTTTTAGACCACCCTGCAGATTAAAAGCATTTCGTGCAGTGTTCGCGTTTTTATTTTTCTCAGCTTTTCAGCGGTATTTTCCTGCGAACTCCGGTGTCGCTTGGCGTCCTGCTCTTTTATTAACTGAAGCATATCGTTATTATCTCCTGTTTTTGGCCATTTCATAGAGCAAACACGAAAACATTACAGGAGTTATATAACTTTCGTTTCAATTCAGAAAAGGAAGACGACACCAATAGCTATTACAATCACAACAGCAAGAGAAAAAAACCCGCCATGAAATATCGTAAACAGCGATCAAAACAGCGTTAAACACGTCGTAATCAGCACTGGATAAACCCATTCTAAATGAGAAAAAAAAAAGTAAGTGGAGACCCCCCCAACCCCCCCCA